TCGGTACCCCGGGTACTGTTGATTTACTTCTTATCGTTGAGAAAGATGTCATACATGGTGGGTTTGATGAACTTCATGCCCAACTTACCCGACTTGGTTGGGTTGTATTCGGGCCAGCAACAGTTCAGAGCACTTCGAATGCAACAGTTGGAATTTATTGCACGCAGATTAGAGTCGATCCTTATTTAGATAATCTTATCTGCAACTTTTGGAAGCCTGAAGAAGTACCCGTTACATGCAAGTGCTTGGATGATCAATGCGAGCGGTTCTTTGCCACTACTCACTTACCACACTTGCCTGTGTATCTAGACATGCGATATCGCATTTATTGGATATTATAAAAGCTAAGTGAAAATTGAATAATCAAATTTAACAAAATGTTCTAATTTTTATCTTCCAACTAAATTTAAGGAAAAATAAATATGTATACAATCGACCTGTATATACGTAAATATATATAATCATACATCTAGAACCTTATCGAAAACCTACCGTTTTTGAAATCGGCACTTGCCACGATTTTGAACTTCACGTATTTTTACTCGGGAACATAATAAATAGTGAAAGGAGGGTACAGTGGTTAACCGTCATAGCCACTCATACAACCCTGACAACGCGACGTTCAGATGGCGAAATTATTCCGCTTACAGATCGATTTATCTCTCTGAAGAAGCTTCTGCATACCATGGCTTTAATACTGAGGTGGCTTCCGAGAAGCCATGGCTTTCGGGACCCCACAATTGATGCACAGGAGATCGATGAGGCGCTAGAGTGGCTTGTGAGGATCGATCAAGGGAATGCTTTTCTGAAAGACATTAGGTGTCTGCAGGGTGGGTTTGCGTTACCAACTTCGAGTTGTCTAATCCCGTAAACCCATTATCTGGATGATCATGGCTTATTACGGGTAGGAGGTCGCATTACTAAATCTACGTTGATAAAAGCCCATAGGCACCCAATCATTCTTCCGAAGTCGACGGGTCTAGTCCGGCTGCTCATTAGACAGGCACATATAGACACTCTTCATGGCGGAACCCAGCTGACTCTTCAAACTCTTCGATGTGCCTTTTGGATTATACACGGGAGAGTAGCGGTGCGTAGCCTGATTCTCAAATCTGTCGTTTGTCGTCGCACCCGACGTGGTGCTGTCTTAATGCAACAAATGGCTTCGCTACCTCGACATCGTGTCAATGCGGCCGGGGCCTTTATCGCATCCGGAGTTGATTACTGTGGTCCGTTCAACTTGCGTATTGGATCCAAAAGATCGCGGACTACGGTAAAAACATACTTAGCTATTTTTATTTGTATTTCGACGAAAGCTGTACACATTGAGGTGGCTGATGATCTCTCCATACAGGCTTTTTTAGACGTGTTTACTCGGTTTATTAGCCGGCGAGGGCCCTGCAGGAATTTCTACAGCGGTCGTAGGAGCTAAGCAAGTTCTGAAGGAAGATTTGGCTGTCGGCGATGATCGAAATATCAAGTCAGCGGAACTTAGTTCGCGTAGTCGGCACGCAAGCCTTGTGGTACTCCCATCATTAACATTGGCGACTCACATCGAGGCCTGTTAGAACTCTCGGCCACTCTTATCGTTGTACGATGACCCTGAATACAGGTATGCCATAACTCCCGCAGACTTTTTAATAGGGTTTCCGATAATGGCCATCCCAGAGCCAGACGTTTCGGAGATGCCCGCCAATCGAGTGAAACATTGGCAATGGTTACGGCAGTTGCATGAGGAGTATTTGGCAACCTTATAGACTAGAAGCAACGACGTGTTCCCAACATAAAGGTGGGTGACATCGTGGTAGTACGCCAAGAAAATTACTACCTACGCATTGGAGGCTGGGACGCGTTACTAAGCTCCACCAGGGCACCGACGGAGCCGTACGATATGTAGCACTTGCAACCGCTCAAGGGTCTTGCACCAGGGCCGTGCAAAAGCTGTGAAATCTTATGGAGAATGATATTGGAACTAACGTTTCAACCGGAGAGGATGTCTAAGATTCTGCGCCATTTGAATCACCCTGTAATTTAATATTTCGTTTTATCTATTCTTTATATTCTGGGTGAATTGGTCTTTCATTTTCTGAATTCCTTCTAAACTTGGACATTTAATAAATTGGATGTGCGATTAAGCTGAGCTTACGTTTTTTAATAAACAGGGGTTATGACACCTTATAAGAAGTGACATAAACACAAGTTAAAAAATCGGCTTTCCATTACTATATAAGGAGTAACATATTTCCAAATTTTAAAATTGGAGTTATATCACTTGCCATAGTACCCACAAATCGAAGGAGAAGCTCGTCTAAAGACTAACATATGTGTAAACGCCATTCTATTATTATTATGATATATAATCTGTTCCAATAGCAGTCCGGTTTATAGGATTTATTCAGAACTTACAGGAAGTCGTTTCTATAGACATAAAACCTGTAAGTGGGAGAGTAATTGAGCAATTGTTCCTAGTCAGAAGTTACAGGATTTAGTCCGGAGTTTTTTTCCTGTATGTTCATGAAAAGTGTCAAACATTCCCAGGGTAGTATTTGTAAACAAAAACAGAACGCGGTGAAAGCAAAGAACCTAATGTTTGTTGCAAAATGGAAGTAAACAACGAAAGATTTGAATATGTATAGATTTTAATAATCAATTAGTGATATTTCAGCCAAATCAGTGTTGTACCAATGACTTGCGTTCCCGTACACTTTTGCATCTGCTCTCCTTCTACTCTCACTTGAGAGAGTAAAATTGTAGTTTGCAACGGAAAAGAGCAACAGTCTGGCGCGAGTCCTTGGCCCTCAGTCATAAAAAGTGAACTTAGGCTCCGAGGATTTTCAGAACAAATTCTTGAGCTTAAGCTTACTTAAACAGTGCAAAAACTTAGTCTCAGCTGAGGCTCACTTTTTATACATGAGGCCCATGTCACAACATAGATTATGTAAATTTTTTCGGGATGGAAACAAATAAAGTCATGTAGGAAGCAGTGCTTAAGACTTTCAACAATAATGATGTAGTGATTATATTATGGGTACTCATCTAAACTCGTAAATGGCTCGTAGCCGCGTAAACTTCGTAAATAAACCAGTTTTCTTTACGAAATTAAGTAAGTTTACGGGGTTTAAATGGTAACAAAGCATTTATGCCTTTCGATAAATTGCCCTATTATTTTATTAAAAAGAAAAATGTAAATTTATTTTTTAATTTAAGTAAAAAAGTAATCTCATTTTAGTGCAAAGTTTTTGCATTAAGATCAAATCCGCTGTTATTGTGGGACCCTGCACTTTTACATATTAACCGACTTCAAAAAAGGAGGAGGTTATCAATTCGTCGGAATATTTTTTTATGTATGTTTCCGCATAACTCTGTTTTTCTTTTTTTTTTAAGGAAAGGCGGTACCTAGAGGTGGTCCTGCAGTCATTTGGTGTTGATCCTATCATTGATCAAATTAACGGTACTCTTAAATGATTCTGTATGAGAATTGAAGCCGGTTTTTTGTTTTGCTTAAACCTTACTTGTTAAGCTTATATTTTGCTTTAAAATGCATTTCAAATGAAATTAATAAAACGGTTTCTTAAATAAAGCATTACCATTTTTTACTCATCTTATTTTATGTTTAAATATAACTTCATTAACCAATTTATAGAATTTAGCTCCTTTACTGAAAAAGCTTACACTGAGAAAAAAACGCGTTGTAATAATAAAAATTTTTTATTTAATTACCGTTTGAAAATGCTCGTATTTTAATCACGTGAAAAATGTTAACAAAATGGATTTTTCCATTGTACATACACTACGTATAATGGAAATATTCAATTCAAATAGGCTCATATTAAAATTAAGCATTTTTCACTGCACGGCTGGCGTTTTGCACGCTTCGGATTCTTTTTATTACCTTCCTTTTATTAGCTCGGGATGTAACTATGTAATATTATAATAGGGAGGTTCTAGTTTTTTAAACTATAATTTTTATTCATATGTAATTAAGAAAGTATATGCACATACACACATACATGGTATGACATAATGCACTAATCGCGCGCTGTGATGTAGATTCAAACTCAACATTTGAAAACACACTTACATGTATGGGTGTAGCTGAGTGCGCAAAGACGCTTGATACAATTGGTTCCTGCCAAGAGGGCTCGGGTTCAATTACCATCAGACATATCATAAAATAAAATTTGTTTTTTCTTAACTATAATTTCGTATAACGAAAAAGCATCTGGGCACTTCACAACGACATACTTTATAACGTACATACTCAAATTTAAAACGAGTTGTGTTGGTGCTTTTTCATATGCGTATCTTTTGAAATTTAGCACGTTTTTTTAATTCTAAAATTTTTTCCCTCAGTGTAGATATTTCACTTTCGGATGCAATTTAAATTCTTAAAATATCTTTATTAGTTCAAAAAATATAATTTCTGCGACGAAAAAAGTCGAAAGGCCCAAAAGTGCAATGCTGGTGTTTAAAGGGTTGGATACAGGGCTGTACGATTACTCGAGCAAGTTGTTCGGTTAACCGACTACTCGGGTAATCAAGATCTTGATAACTCAAAACGATGATTAATCGAGTTACTTAAAATACGATTACCCCAAAAAATGAATTTTGCTCTTCAAAAAAGTTAATGACTCAGTTTACCCATAATGTTAATTAATCATAAATCAAATTACTCAACTATTTCACTTTTTGGTTAATCAAAATCTTTATTACTCGAGTAACCGAACTTTTGAGTAATAATAATTTCCAATTAATCGAATAATTGAGTTATTTATTTTATGATTTTATGATTAAAAATATGTTGAATAATCGAATATTCGCACAGCCCTAGTTGAATATAAAATGATATAAAAGCCTGAAAATAAACTAAAAATAACATTTAAAGATTTAAAATTATTAAGTATGTATGTATGTATTAAGTATGTATGTAAGTATGTTTTATGTACTAACAATACAATTCCATCGTTTTAATTTTTATTTCTATATTCCTATGTTTACAGAGACGTTGTAGTAGGACTTTTAAAAGTTGGCACCAAAAATTTATATCTGTTTGATAGTCTGGCTCAGACAAAGAAAGTCGACAATTCTCCTTGTATACTAGATTTTTACGTCCACGAATCCCGACAGCGCACAGGACTTGGAAAGAAATTATTCGACATTATGCTGGCTGAGGAAAATTGGATTCCAGTTAAATGCTCCGTTGATAGACCATCTGAAAAATTGTTACAATTTTTAAAGAAACACTATGGTCTGGAAATCATTATACCACAGGCAAATAAATTTGTGCTCTATCAGGGATTTTTCGATGACGATACAACTGCGAACAGGTACATTTATATCCCGAAATAAAGGTGAGGCTTGTTCGAGATGCAATCACAACCGCAGTGTTGCAGTCTCGAACAGGCCCGTGTTGACACCATCTGTTTTTCTGCAAAGTATTTTAATTTTGTAAAATGAATAAAAATTATGACCCCATACAGTGATCGGACTTCTACACATTGTGGTAGATCTGCCACTTTTTTGAGTACCTACCACATCTACCAGCCAAGGTCTGAAATCTACCACATATTCGCGTTTTGAAGAAGTTTCATTTTTGCTCGATATAATGATATAATACAAGATTCCGTATTCCCGACGGCGATGAAATTGCTTAAGTAAAAGTAAACAAAGCCGAATGGGAGGATAAAATAAACTGTAAAATAGTGAATTTTCTCAATAATCAATTTTTAAAATGCAAAATGTATGATTTACAAAAAGAATTCATAGCAAAAATGTTAAAAAACGGCAATTTTTGTGAAAGTGTTTAAGTGCATCTAAAGTTTCTGAGGCGTTGTTTATTTTTACTTGAGAATTGTCAAAATCGGTAAATCCCAAGTAGCGGTTTCTGCAACCTGCCACATTTGTTCGCTACATCGCGATGTGATAAAAAGAAGTTTGCAGAAATCCCTTAAAATATGTTCGAAAGATATCTTGATACGGAAAAAACTGCTTTACACTGTCAAGGAAAACATTTCCAAAACTCAACCCAATTTTTAGCAACTTCAGTCTCGCACTTTATTATACTAAAATAATTTTTTTTTAGAGTCTAAATAAAAAGTTTGCAATTTAGGTGAAACTTCCAGATCTTTTCTTTAATTTTTGTACAATGTGTAGCAGTATCGATATTATACATATATGTACAAACATAAGTCGGCCATCACTAGTTACTGTAAATAACCCCTAGATTAAGTTGTATTTATTTCGTCCCACTCTAGCTTTAAGTTACAAAACTATTTATAATAGCTTGTTGATTATGTCTCACTCTCGCACTAAGATATAAACCCGCTAATAGCGAACGAAGACCATTAAAGAGTTGACGAAAGACAGTCGTGGTACTAGGGATGGGTAGTGGGGGGTTGAAATTCGATTTTTTCCGAATTTCGAACATTGCCCAACCATTCGATTATTCGATTCAAAATTTGGTGGTGCAAATTCGATTTAATTAGATTTTTTTCGAATTTTCGGAAAAAAATTTTTATTTCAACTTCTGAATCGAGTTCGGAGATGTTTGCGTTAAATATTTAACACCAAGTCATAAAATCTGTATCGTTCGTTCAATTTAAAAAAAATGAAGTGTCAAATTCAAATAATCGCTTCCGCAGATGTTTACGTTAAATATGTTACACCAAGTCATAAAATCTGTATCGTTCGTTCGATTTTCAAAAAGGAGGTATTACCATGTTCTGACCGACATCGAAAACATGTTTTCGTTGCTAAAACTGGTTTTCGACTTAAAACTTGTGTTTTCGTCCATGTAAAATCTGTCAAACGAAAACCAGTTTTCGCTGAAAACTACTTGAAAACTCACGTTCCACTCATTCCAATCGGTGACTTCACTAGTTTTTTTCGATTATTTGTCGAAGTGGAAGTCATATTTTATCATCTTTAATACGCCATTTCGGATATATTGTTAATTGACTATAAGAAATGAGGATGTAAGAAATGTCAATGAAAACACTAACAGCCGGTGTGAACAGCCTTCAGCCCACAATCCCAAAACACGTTTTCAAAGTGTTTTCGTTGTCGAACAGAACATGGTATAGGTGTCAAATAAAACGGCTTGCACTGTAAATGTGTAATATGGTTTTAGTTTTGTGCCATATCACATTAGGTCAAATGATTACTTATATAGCTTTATTTTAATGTACTTATATAGCTTTATTTTAATGTAAACGGATGGAAACAGTTAAGAAAAGTGTACAGGCAGTAAATAACATGTAAAAACATGACTTGGCTTTCGTAAAACAGACTTTTTTAAGTTCAAATGATGAGTATATGTGTTTAGGTAGTTCTCGAAGACATTGTCCAAATAGCTTGGTTTTCAAACAAACTATTTTCTTACCATACTCAACCCGAAGGGGGTTGAGCTACATAAATAAAACAAGTATGGTCATATGTACATAATGGGTTTCATCTAGGGATTAAAAAAAAAATATTATCGAAGTCCCTTAATAAACAAAAAAATATATACTACATGTCTCGCAGATATGCCTTGAGGAGAGATTCCTAAAGCAGTTAGTCTTCATGAAACCCTTCATTTTCACTTAAGATTTTTCCCAAATTGTCCACCTATATTATTTATATTCAGAATGCAAATGCTGCATTATAACACATTTACTAAAAACCGCTCGATTCGCTCGAGGATTTGCCTTTTTGCGAAGGCTGCTTATCAATAGTCTTTGCGAATCGGCGGGAGTGTCTTTGAAAAATAGCTATGCTACAGGAGATGAAATGCAATCCAAATTGAGGCTGGTATTGGTTTTGCTATCACATACTTCCATCTTCCATTTTCACTATTTATCACCATTAAAATGGACTATTAACCACCATTAAGATGTAACCAAATTTTGACAGCTGCTGTTGTTGTACAGCGTTACTTGCGGCCGGGTATAATACTAAAATTTAGGCTAAGTTATTTTCAACGAAAGGAAGGACAGAACCGCAAATTTTGGGGATAGCCAAAAATTCGGGTAAAATGTTAGCTTTCGCATTTTAGCATATTTAAGCCATAGCGAAAGTTAGAATGCGGCTGCTGGTCGACACAGTTGGCTTTGATTTCTAAAACAACTTCATCAGTAAGAAACGGGATAATAACTCCATAATTTTCTCCTTTGTTTTATAAATAATGGCAAAAAATACGCGTTTTTTTCTAAGAGTTTCATGAAACTTTCGCAAATATCATCAGCACCAAATTTGTTTTTCAACATGGTTGATAACCGAAGAAAGCCTTTCTTTGTTTGAACATCCAATCAGCCAAACTACAAACATCTCGCCTTTTGTAATAGCATGATAGCCCAGAAAAAACTGTTTTTCTTGAAAACGGCTAAAAACGCCGGCTTAAGTAAAATAAGATCAACTCATTACATCCCAGTTTATCCATTTCCATTTTGTTTGCCGAATGTTAACAAAATTGTAAAGCTTACATTAAATCATAAATGGAAATAAACCAGAAAAATTTTGAGGTTATGCAAATAAGACAGTTTGTTTTGCAAACAAATGATAAAAAGTCACTTTTTTTAATTTAGGACATAGATTCTCACTTATATTTGTGTTTTACATTAAAAATGTTTCCTTTAATAATTCCAGTTATGAGAATTTTCGTTATGACTCTTCGATTTATGCTGCTAGGAACATGAAATTTTGCAGTACTTCCAACGATATTCAACAGAATTCTTACAGTAAAAATAACAAAGATCGGGTTACTTTTACATATAGCTCCCTTCATCAGCGTAGCCAGAATGAAATTTAGGAGGGGGAGGGGAGGGCTCGACCCTATTAAGCTGGCATTTCAGGGTACTATTTTATATATATATATAAGGAAAATTTGAAAGTTAGGGGGGGGGGGGCTCGAGCACCCCCCTGCCCCTACCTGGCTACGCTCATGGCTCCCATACAACTGATTGTTCAGATATGAGATTCTATGTTATAACTTATAAATATATGCAGCTAGAAACATGATATTTCGCACTATTTTCACTTTATCAACAGATAGTTTACAGTAAAATTAATAAAGATCGTGTCACTGTAACTTATTATTGCCTCCATATAACTGATGGCTCAGATATTGAGTTTTAATGTAAAACTAATTTATTTGGACAGCTAAAACCGATAAATTTCGTAAGCTATTGTATAAATAATAATACAAAGTCTACTGAGAAAATTGTCAAAATCTATGCTGCATAAGCCTTATCTCGTATACCTTATCTTCCTGTACTAGTTTTTGTGATATATCTCCTTTATGTAGGAAGCTAAACCCATTAAATTGTGTTACCGGTTTACATACCGATCACACAGCAGTGAAAGTCACTTTGATTGGTGCTATATAAGGTATATCTTCCATACCTCTAATTGATTAGATACGATTTTTTATATATGTAACTCCTCTATCTATGTGTGCTGTGAATATATAAATTTTTTCAAATGCAGTAATCTGTTAAAGTAAAGTTTTCAGATGTTCATGAAAGGTATGAAGCCTTCGGCATAGCCGAAGACAGCGCTGCTCTTACTTGTTCTTAGCTAACTTTGGTATGAGCATAAGTATAGCTTCCTTCCAGTCGTGTGGGTAAATACCCGTTTTTAAAATATTGCTATAGGTTAGGTTATGTTAAGTCGGCGGCTCTTAGAAGAGTTCACTCTTAGGCCACAAAGGCCCATTGCGATGCTCAGGGGGGTTTTCCCATGCCTATCCCTACATGTCTTTGAACCATTTCGATTCTCTGGAGAATCCAAGTAGTCCTTCCAGTGGACCTTTCCCTAAGGTATCCAGGCTCTCGAAGAAATGGTCCCCAAGAAACTTGAGGCATTTCCTTCGGAGTGCTGGACATTCACAAAGGAAGTAGTGGACAGATTCTACCTCTGCTATAAAGCTGGCACAATCTTATTTTGAAGACGCTTGACGAATTTTGTAGCGTGGCATAAGTTATTTTATCCTTCCCATTTCCTTGAGCATTTTTGAGCGCTAGATGTAATTCCGCGAGTGTTACTGCATCTACAGTACCATTTAAATCATTTCCAACGCTTTCGCAATCGTCAACATTCATACTCCATTTTTTTTGTATAAGGCAGGCTTTCCCAAAGCGGGTGCCGCAAGCATATGCCTGGGGTGCCGCTGGTGGCTAGAATATACTAGTGGTGCTAGCAAATTCTTTAAACTTTCCGGTTTGATCAAACTTCAACATGGCGGCCAGAAAATCAAAAAATTTTGGTTTTTATTAAAATTGCCTTTACGTTTTGTCACCGAAAAATTGAATCAGAAAAATTGCTGAAAACGTACCCTTTTCACAACAGT